TGCGTTCTGTGTTTTTGTTCTATTTAAGTGTACGTCAAACTGTACAGCTTTCTTGTATTATTTCTGACTGAGGATGTACTAAGATATTGTACGAAACGTCTCGTAATACATAGTTATGCATTCGGTGGTTAATGATACATTTATTAACATTTATTTCGGCGTTGGTCTCACTGTTATTATATTTATCCTTTTACTCATACCAATTAGGTGTGTTATGAGATGTGTAAAACTCTATAAAGAGGTTGATACGGAGGCCGAGACAAATAGTAAGTTTTTTATCTAGATCTCGTATGATCTTTCATTTTTCTTTCCTTTAATTGTTGTACAAGCACTGATAATACCAAGACGACGATCGTCAGCGACATCTTAAATACATCGAAACAGTTTATTACTAAAAGTATTTGAGTGATGTTGCTCTTTCTTTCTATTTCGGTAACATACCATGGTGCACAAAAAAAGTTAGACATAAGAATGACTTGTAACGGAAAAAATAAAAATGAATTCAAAGTTTCTGCGTATCGTGATCAACAACTAAAATTAAAAATGGAAAATAGCGAAAGAAATGGGGTTTACCAATAAAATTAGAAAATAGTGAACGACTAAAGATAAAGATGTTCTTTTAAAGCCTTTTTAAAGTTTTTGAAATAGACTGAGTGAACTTATGATTACCCGAGTATAAGCATAAATCTCAATAACAGCTAAGAACGGAAGCATATAACCGGTAGGTAATAAATAGAATACTGTCAATGCATATTTTGTTGTTCCCAAACAAAGATGAGATTCAATTTCATATTGATATCCATTGTGAAATAATGGCATAATGGGTACAACAAGGATAATGATCGTCCAACTAACAATTACCATTATAAAATGTATTGGAAATTTTAATAAACGTTTATATTTATAGAATTTTAAAAAGAATAATCGACTAATAGCATGTAATAAAAATGAATTGCCCACAGCTGCTAGTGATGTTGCTAGAGAAACTGTAGGGATTGTACACCATGATGCAGTAGTTAATTGCTCAAAACCAACAATTATCTGCCAAATAATTACTAGTAAAAAGGTACAACCACTAAAACTTGAATTACATGCTAAAAAATAATTTACTGTATGACATTGACGGTGAGAAATAGCAATAATAATTAGACGGATACCAAAAAGAAACCGATACGCAAATATAGAAAAATTAACAGTGAAAAAAATTAATGAGGGTTCTGTCACATTTATAAACATGTTAAGATGAAGGGAATGGCTCTAAAATTTATTCATAATAGGTCTAGTGATAATGACTCTGGATAGAGAAAAAGAAGGAGAGCGAGAAAAGGCTATTAGTTCATTTGATGTTAAATTCTATAAAGCATACGATTTAAAAAGAAAAAATACTTCTTTTGAACTAAGTTTCTTCTTCTAAGTATAATCTAAATGAAGCCTTAGAAATAAAAAATTCTGAGTTCGTCTCTTAAATATTTTTTGCAATACACATGCTTATTCATTGAGATATGTCCATTATTTTTGTCAATTTTAATTTTATTATCGGTTACCTTTATATATTACTTTTTTATTATGTAATAAACCTTTTCGAATGAAGTAGACTGAGTGAACGTACGATTACCCGAGTAAATTATAAAACATTAATAAATGTTCTACTGTGTTACCTAAACAAAAGAGACGATGATTGCAAGTTGCACATACTAATTCCCTGTGTATATATAACGAAATTATTGGCAATTTCATTTATTTGTAGACCCCATTTATCGTTCAGCTGACCGACAAGATGTGAAAAACCGTAGATTATTCACCTTCTACCGAGGTCAGATTTTGTCGCCTACCAGTAGTCCAACGGTACAAACACAAACGCGCTTGAAGTCCATCCTCTATTAGAAGAACATTTTGGCAAAATGTTTTTGAAAACTGCCCTAATAGGGGATATTTTCCGATTATTTTTGGCGGACATAATGGAAGATCAGTTCTATTTTACTTTCAAGTCATATAGTTGGCAGTGGCCTTCTAATAGAGAATGATCTTCTATTGTGCGTGGAGCGGTACTAGAATCTACTGAGACAATCAAAAAGGCTTCACAGTGAAGTTAATTTTTTCAATTTTTCTGGACAAACAGTGCAATGACTATACTTTTCACTCATATAGAAGTTCTACACGGTGAAAAAAAATCGTAAAATCCAGAACCATCGAAAGAAAACCGTGTAAAAGAACCATGAAGTAAAAAACTACATTATGAAAACCGTAAAATGCAAAAGTATAAAAGAAAAACTATGGAAATAAAATCCTAAAGGTTAAAATCATAGAAACAAAACTTTCGAACCATCGAAGAAAAACTCTAAAATAAAATCGTCAGTTTAAGAACTGTACAATTAAGACCATGAAAAAATATTGTAAAGGACAAAACTGTAGAAATAAAATTCTGAACTGACAGTTTGTCAAAGGAGAACAATGAAAATAAAAGGTTGAAGTGGAAAACCGAGAAAGCGTTTTCATACTTTTTAGTTGACGGCTTTATTGAAGCATCAGAATTCATTAAAACATGTGCAGTTTCAGTCGTCAGCACGTCAAAAAGTCGTCCTAATCAACTGCCATTAGTTTAATATAGCCAATTTTGGGCTTTTCGACCAATCTATCTCACACTCAGGATTATTAGCCGGGCAGATAGAGAGTAAAACTGGCACTTAGGACAGCGAGGAGGAGAAGACGTCTTCCAGCGCATGTTTCTGCAAAATATACTCGTTTTGTGAACTTTCTCGTTTTACAAATTCTTTGAAGCTGCGACCACCTTGAAATTGTTCTGACGTTTATAGTCTTAGAAGGTAGAAAGGAAGGGTGTAGTGAATATCTTCTCCTAACTATAAATTTCTAATTTCTAATAAAATGGCTTAATTTTTCTCATGCAGATTTAACAAGAATAAGTTTGAGATTTTAAGTGTCTTGTGTAACAGATACAGTTTATCTCAACAGAAAAAATTTCAAAAAAATTTCGGGACAAAATAACCGTAAACATTTTTCACGCGATAGACTGGATAAGGAACAGAGACGTGCTGGCCAAGGAATTTTCATGCCCCGCGGGCCCCGTCCCGTGACTTCCGTCTACCCGTCCCCGTGGACCACTGTTTAAATAACCCCACCCGTGCTCTGTAGAATTTTCCTCTAGCCCGTCCCGCCCGCCTCCGTGACAATAGACGTTATACACCGGCCCGCCCGCCCGTGGATTTTGCTACCAGGCCCCGCCCGCACCCGTGTGACCTGTGAGACTTTTCGTTCATCACACAAATTCACGCAAATTTTTCGATGATGATATTTCGATGATTTTCATCTTTAACTACAAGAAGAGCAAATCGAATCCAACATACAGATGGTTTAACTGTATTTACGCTAGGATTATCCACCAGTGTATGTTTTCCTGGTTGACTTTTCGAAAAAAATTTGATATTCGATGTATCGTACTTTATATCACCAATTGAGCATTCAGGTGGTGAACCACCCGCATCTGATGATGAGTGACCAGTGGCTGTTGATAAAATAACATCAGGAGATTCGTCCGATGATAAATCATTTATTTCGATCATTGGGATTGATAAACGAGAAGAAGCTTTCAAAACTATCGATTTTCAAAAATTAAAAGAATTTTAATATCTTTTCACTTGGTAAAAAGAGTTTGAAATGACGGAAAATATGGAAGACACAAAGAACGACTGAGCTCTTTTTTCGATTGCTTGGAAGTAAGAGACCAATCAATATTCGCTGAAATTGAAATTGTAGAAGAGCGACATCTATTGATGCTTTTCATGGTCCTGCGCCGGCGATGGACAAATTCGGCGTTTCTAGAAATTTGCTGCTCCGCCCGCCCGTAGCCATGGAGCCCCGCGGAGCATAACCCGTGGATTGCACGTCTCTGATAGGGACAACATTATTTGCTGACGGGCTTGGGCTAACGGAACCGGACAAAAATGTTTATGCTTGGCTCTATACGCCCAACGAACGAATCGTGGACACTGAAAAGTCACAGGATCTAGACTATACATTTCGTACGAACGATATTACACGTTCTGATCTGATCCTATGAGTTCTTACGTACGAAATTGTAAGATTACATAAAATCGTGTCTCATTTTCTACGATCTTACGTACAAATGATACATGATTCACACTGTTTTCTGCTGGTGTATTTTGACAATTAAGCTCAAAATACAGTCATGTTTCGGTTAAGCTCAGATATTTCAAGTTACCAGCCTACTCGAATGATTAATGCTTTCGGATCATGAACTTGCAAATAGGAAGCTTGATCATTAAAGTCATCATAAGGGAATCCATAGGCAAGACCATTGATACTATGATCATGCCAAAACTTGGCATAAAAATTAGCAGGTGCCGCTTTGTAATAATTAGTAACGTTGATCCAATCACTTTTATTTTCGAACACATGACGATTAATAGCAGAGCCGATATCAGGTGATTCTTGTAGTCTTCCATTACACAACAAAATTTCTTGTGTATTGTATTTAGAATATCCAGCGAAATAATCGCCATTAGCACCACCGGTAGCAAATGAACCATGAATTGGTGCCACTATTCGATAAGGAGCTTGAATATCGGCAAGAGATTTAAATTCATCAGGTACTTCAGTTCGATATTTTGAAAATAAAGATTCACGTGTTTCGAACTCTAGTTCTCCGACTGTTTTGTCATAGTTTCCAGCCCGATTCACAAGACGATGTTGAAGTGGAAAAGCAAAGCCATCAACACGCGTCGTATTTCCATGATAACCGGAGTCATTGACCGTAAATTCAATAAAATCGAAATAAATATTAAGATTTGGATCAGATGGATTATTAATATCGGGGCCCGCAAATCCATTATCGAAAGTTTTGATGTAACACGGTGATCCCAGAGAAAGAAACATACGTCCAGAATCCAATTTTGGTAGGTTGACCCATGACGCTTCACTAATTGTACAGTAAATGTTGGCATAGTTAACATCGTTCTTTGAAAGATGGTCAGCAGCATTGTTTAATCCCTCAGAAACTGGCTTCAGTTGCCCTAATCTGTCAAGATAACTCCATTGCTTGGTTGCAGGATTAATTCCCAGGACGCCCCAATAAATCTGGTTGTCTCGATAAGCACCGCCAGTTCCATTAATCACCTTAACTGTTAGTGCACCATTACCACTCGCAGATGGGATATCGTGAGAAGGAAACGAAAAAACTGATGACGTAATCGGACTACTATTTCTCTGTGATGAAGATTGAGGAGGATGAAGAATTGACGATGATGATTGTGCTGGCGTTGTCGTTGAGGAAATGTTAGTACTGAATGAAGGTGTATCATAAGCTGGTGTGCCGTTATTGTAGGTAAATGAATATTTGATTACTTCTCCGGAAGATAAATTATTCACCGTCTGAGTATAACGTTTGGAAGCAACATAGTAAGCCATACGGAAATTTTGTTGACCACCATTGTTAACAGAATAATGTACATCAACCCATGACGTATTAACTTTGGAAGAAAACCAGATCGTTGCTGTATTGTCTGACACAGTTATCCCCTGCTCATATGCCGTAGACATTTCTTTTTACTGAATAAAACACAACGTTGTTAAAATAACTGCCACTATATGATTAATGTTGATATAAATAACCTTATCTGTGGCTCGCTTCGCTTTTATTCATTTATCCTTTTTAAAATATGATTTTAACTTAAAGTGACGCATAGGGAACAGCAGGTCATTTATTGTGACCTTGAATGATGTTTTATTAAACTCGCGTTGTTTCGCGGTTCTTGAGCCAATCTCGTGTTGCAGTGATGGTATAGTCGCACTAAACGAAATTCATATAGAAAAAACCCAAAGTCCCCACAGTATATCTGATATAGTTAAAGGCTAAGTGTCCCGACGCAACTTTTTGCGAGAAATCAAATGGTAGTCTCAGAAATTCTTGAAAATGTTTCTGAACCGAAATAAGTATCTGTTTTTGACAGAGAATATATATGACTCGCAAGAGTTGCGAGACGCGTCTCGAAAAAACGACAGAAACGATCTAACTTCATTCAAACGCGAGAATCAGTGTTGTACTTTCTTCGAAAACGACAGTCGCAATTCCTACAAGAACATAACGAATTTATTGAGCTTCAGTACTGGTTGAGGGTAAAAACGAAATCTTCTTTTAACAAACTCGAAAAATTAAAGTTATTCAAACTCGAAACACAACTCTCCACAAGTGTAGAACACAAAACTCGACACACAGTGAAAATTTACCTTCAAAACGCGTTAAATTCGTTTCGATTGAGTCCTAAACACAAAAACTTCAGTGCCGTTCGCAATTCTTAAAGTCTATTGCGACTGCAAACTCGTTTTTAAAAAGCTATGATGGTCATAAACCCGTTTCTCGCGAAATCTTGATGGCAAAAACGCGGTTTTGAGTAAGGCGTATATTTAAAGCTCAAGAAATTCGCCGCATTCGTGGTGAAACTGTATATTCTCGCGCTCTATGAATGCTAAAATCGCGTTAAAACGAATTCTCAAAAGATATACGTGACTGCCTGGGAAGCTAGCCTCAAAATAAGCCAAGGTCACAATAAGACAAAACAGAATAACCCAAACTCAAAATAACTAGAACCAAAGTAAGCCAAAGTCAAAACAGGCCAAAGCAACATCAAATTCAGGAAAGTACCATAAGGTAAAGTCAAAATAAGCCACACGAAAATTCATTTGAGGTTGCCTCACTTTGCTTGGGCTAATTTCGGTTTCGGCCATTCTGAATTCCAATCAGCTTACTCTGGCTTATTTGCAATTTCCGCTTAGTAGTAATGTAACTTTTTTTCTTTAACGGAGAATGTGCAAAAATGTTGTCACTTTCAACCGGTTTTTACATAAAAGTTAAACTTTGGCACAACATGTTCACAAATTTATAGCTAGACTCCAAATCATTTGCTGAGTAAAAAGCATTGATGTTGGCTTCTAAAAACTTTTTGGTGGTGTGTTAGTTTTTTTCTAGCAGAAACGTTTGCCGACGCTTTTCGCCGCCGAAGGCAGCCATGCTCGCAACAACGCTTAAACAACACGGCCACTGTCGGATTACAGTAGAAGCTTTAGAGCTCGTGCCAAATTTTCGAGAAATAGCCAAACGCATTTTGCCGCCAGAGGCGGCAAAGATTTTAGCTATCGCATCAGCCACAAGATTAATTCTACCTTAGTGACAATATTTTGGAAACCTTTTGAAGTTCATTCATTATCAACAAGGGTAATGAAGCTCGCACGACTGCAAATCGACTGCAATTTCCTTCCAAAATCGGAGAAAGCTGTGCTAAATCTTCCCGAAGCAGAAGGAGGCACCTTCCCTCATCCGCCTCCGACCGCCCCACCACTGCTGCTGGTGTAATATTTCCCATTGGCCATGTAAAAATTTTTGACGAAAAATCACCTTAAAGTCGATTTTTATTTTTGCGTTCATTGAAAATCGATTTAAATGGCACGATTTGGATCAGATTAAAATCGGATTTTGACTATTTGACCAGGAGATCAGATGTTTTTATTTTTAATCAGAAAATTTGATTTTTCACCAGATTTAAACCGTGCCATTGAAATCGATTTAAATCAGTTAAAAGAATCTAAATTGATTTTGAGATTTATACTGAAAAAAAGCGATTTCAATTGATTATTTATGACACTGATTAAAATCGATTACGAAGAGCAGTAATAGATTTTAAACGGTATCGTTGAGTATTACTAAGTCCTGACTGACATTGTGTCATAAAGCATAGTGTGCATGCCAAAGATTACTCCAGTGGTTTACCTGCTGTTTGTCAGGTGGAAGAGTTAAAAAAATGACAAAAATACCGGTTTCTCGGTTAAATCTCGAGAAAAAAAGCATTTTTTGTATCATGAGGTTAAAATCGATTTAGATCCTATTAACTGATTTAAATCGATTTCAATGCCACGGTTTAAATCAAGTGAAAAATCAAATTTACTGCTTAAAAATAAAAATTCAGAAATCAGATTTTCTGATTAAATAAAAAAATCTAAGATTAAATACGAAAAATCTGATTTTAATCTGATTCAAATCGTGCCATTTAAATCGACTTTCAATCAACACAAAAATCGGCGTTAATCTTATTTTTCGTCAAAAATTTGTACAAGGGTATCGTCGCTTAAAATACTTATCATCTTACCGTGACTTATTTTGGTGACGGAATGATAAAAAGGCATATATGCTTCTTTTTCGTGCGTTTCTTTTATCTATAACCCATACTTGTTTTTTTCCAGTTTCATCATCACTTTCTTTTTCCTATCGTCACTACGATGCGATGATGGAGAAAATCTACCAACATTGTGTGTCATGACACTTGGATTTTTTCAGCTTTTTTTCAAAAAATGTCAACAAAAAGCAATTATTTGCATAGATTTCCAACTCCGTTTTCGTTCTTCTCTTTTCTCCTTCTTTTCGTTCTTCTCTTTTCTTCCTTCTTTTCGTTCTTCTTTTTTTCTTCCTTTTTAGAGCTTGAATTACATGTGAGCGAGAAGGTGATCGTCTTTTCCCATTTTTCTTCTGTACTGATGGCAACAGGTGGAGATGAAAATGATGCGGCCTCTTTAGCTCTCTGACTTTCTTCCAATCTTCTTCAAGACGATTGATCATGTTATTTAAACCAAAAACCGACCGTATTGCTTGTTAGATAGTGTAAAAAATGTGTCAGCTGCATTTCTAATGTTGACATGGTTACCGCGTCAAACGTCGTTCCATAACAAAATTTGACTCGCAAACATCTGAGTTGGTTTGGTCTACTGCTCAGTAGTGTTGGTAACAGGAGAATGATGCTGAACAGTTTAGAGAAGTTAAAATGTAAAACTTGAACATTAGAAAATAGATTGAGACAAACTTTAATAGCTGCAGAATCGCAATTTGAATAGTTTATAGTCAGACATGTAATAATTCTCTTTAAATGCGAGCATATTAGATCATGTGTGAATGTTTGCAGCATTCAAGAGACAAAGAAGACAAACTTGTACAGTATTTCAAAAGTTGAAGAAATGATTGGCTCGATAAATCAACGTTAGACATATTCAAATGTTTAATCATTGAGCAGCAAATCATTTGTCGCAAAGACGCAAGAGGTAAGGTAAATATATCAAAATGGTATCGATTCCTGGATGCCAATGTCAACAACTCAACGTTTGGATAGTAGCGAGATGATGATACAGTCGTAGTTGTTGTTTCTGCTGCATTGCTGGATTCAATAAACACCTGCAGATTGATGATTTTATTACGTGCACCACTTCGAAATAGAAAAAGTCATGATGCGACGCCCATATTGCCGATAAAGAACACTGAAATATAAGGTCCCGACAATTCGAACTTCAAGTAATGTTTTTTTCGTCCTTTTATATATGGTTCGATAGACCGTGAGCAACTGAACTAGAAAAACTGATTTTTAACTTTTGGAAACTAAAAAAGAAAACAGTACTGTTTTTTCCGAAAAACACAAGGGTTTTGAAAATATATGAAATTTTCTGTTTTACTGATTTTTTTTTCTGCTTACGAGACTGTTTTGTTCGGATTCAGCGTTAAAAAAGTGAGTATAGACACGGTGTTAAGGGCCCGCCACCCTCAGAATGAATCATTTTGTATAAAAAACTTTGGCAGGGTAGCACCATTAGGAATGACCTAAGTAAAAATTATTTAAGATGCTTCCTCGGTGTACGTAATGTGAGTAATACGTGTAGTGTGATACCTGAGAGTTGGTAGATATTTGAGATATTTACTTAAGGGAAGTCCACCCCCCCTCCCCCGCCCTCTGTAGTTTGACATATTGTGGGCTATGATCTGAAGTGTTTGCCGGACCTTCGTTATTATGTGTGAAAGACACAGTTTAAGTGTAATTCAATAATTAATAATTACATGTGAGTTCTGAACTCAGTTGAGAATTCTTAAGAGCGCCCCTCTTCCAAACCTTGTTTCATTAGGAAATGTCCGATTTCGAGAAAAATTTAGTGTTTGTTGGTCGTACCAAGACTTACTTCGGTTAAAAATTTTAATTTTCTACCCCGCGTTTTGCTACTTGTTTTTAAAACAGTTTTAAAATCGGAAGTGTTCGTAATCTCGCAATGTCGGCGCTATTTTATCAAGCTGAAAATCTCGACATGTTCTTGAAATGCAGTTTCTAATTTGGGTAAGATTTTTGGGAACTCATTGTTTTTTTAAAAATCAAAATAGACTTTTTCGTCAAGATCTGTTTTAACAAAAATTTTCGATTGTCTAACACATGGCTTGTTTTTTATTTTGAAAACTCCTAACTTACCTGTTTTTAATATCCCAAAACACAAGGAATCGCCCAGTTATTGATATTTTGCTTGTGTGTGGTAGTCGGATAGAAGTAACGTAACGGATGATAGTTTTTCCACTCTTGTTTTGTTGCTTATATTCTGCTTTTCATCTATATGACATAATGATTACTATTATGGGTGCCTACCCACTTGCTTGTGCTCATTACTACTAGTAGTTATTTCTTTTCATTTTAAATAAAACAGTTTAAATCAAGTATGAGTGCATGCATTCATGACGTTTATTCTCA